GGTGTGTGGAATCTCCATCGCTGGAGATATTGAAGAGCAGGTTAGACAGACATCTCTCAGGGATGGTCTACTCTAGATGGTGCTTGGTCCTGCCGTGTGGACAGGGGGCTGGATTTGCTGACCTCTCGAGGTCCCTTCCTGTTCTAGGATTCTGAGTGTCTATGGCTTATGGTGTGGCTGGGCGCTTGTTAGACAGCTGGAGGAGAGAGAGATCCCTGACCTTCCTTCGCAACCCATCGTCCCCGGCAGGAAACGAAGCAATGCACCATTCCGGCTCTGACATGTCGACTAGCAGCGTGGCTGCCTCATCATGATGGCTTAGCACCTGCGCCCAGGATGCCGTGGGAGTCGCGTCTGACGTTCCAAGTTCACCCTTTCACTGGCATCCCCTGCGGTCCACGTTAGCCCCTGATGGAGCCTCTTGCTGAGGTTGTGTCCAGGGGTTGCAGTAGGTCGGAAGGGGAGGTGTGCTTCCGCTGGGTGGGTAGCTGCCGTCTCCTCCCTTTCTGTGACTCCTTGTGATCAGTGTGAAAGCCATAGGCACCGAGACCACCGACGGGCCGGGTGGCCGCCACTCCGCAGCCTTAGCGAAGGGCCAGTGTGTCTCCTCTGGAATACCTCCTCCTTGGCCCTGCAGCCAGAGCGCATGTGCGATCGTGCTTGGAATGCTCTGGCAGCTCTTCCGCATTGAGTGATCTAATCTGTTTCCCCAGACTCATTTTATTCTCTCATGCTGCAATCCAATTAGAAGCACTGGAGATCCCTCGCACACCTCCCCTCCCCCTCCTGCGTTATCTCCCCTGATGAATTCGTTTGGAATTCAGTTAGAATGATCTGTAGCCCAGGCTCGCCGCGCACCGGGGCTGGGACGGCGGGAGGCGATAGTTATCTAGGCGCTCCAGGAAATTGGCTGGTTCCAGAGATTATGTAACCTCGCTTTGTTCTGCGGCAGGTTCCCTGCACAGCCCCCCAGGAAGGCGAGAGGCCTGGTCTCGTTGCAGAGCTTAGAAACGACGTCCCTGCAGGCTGATTCCCGCGGCTGCCCTTAGCAAAATGACCTTGAGTGTTTGGTTGACAAAGAAGGTCAAAGGAGATGGGCCCTTTCAACCCTCCCTGTGTGTGTGGAACACAGCTGCTCTCCCAGCGTACGCAGGGAGTAGACGGGTTACAGTTACGAAGGCAACTCAATGCCACCACCATGGAAACCTTTGCGGCCGCTTCCTCCCAGAACGTAGCGATTCATCGTGTTTCCCTCCAGCTCTCCTCTCCTCTGGCCCAAGGAGAGGGCCCCGCCCCCCTTTTGATGATCTGGCTCCCTTTGCAGCATGACTCAGTGTAATTATCCTTCAAAAACAACCAACAGTCTGGTAGCACTTTAAAGACGAACAAAATATATAGCTGGGATGATGAGCTTTCCTGGGCACAGCCCACTTCTTCAGATGACTGGAGTGTGGGAAATCCAGAACCAAGAATAAATAAGGGAAGGGGGAGGGGAGGAAAAACTTGGAGGGAGGCGGGAAGAGGACATTGGGTAGATACGTTTCAAAGGGATAGCCGAGCCAGTCTGTAACAGGAAAAACTTAAAAAACAACTAATAGTCTCTTAGCATCTTAAAGACTAAATAGTTACAAGAGGCTGATAAGAACCATTAGTTTGCAGTAGGAAAGGAAGAGTATTACACCAGATTCTACACGGACATCAAGAACCATTGGCATCTTCATTGGTTGGTTGGTAGATAATGTGCGAGCCGTCTGATATCGCGATTTAGACCATAGCATGAGAGTTAAATGTGAGAATGACGTGGAGTTCCAATCCTTCTCTGGGTATTTGGCTTGTGGCATTGGTCAGAAACGAAACAGCAACTCGGAGATCCCTGAATGAGTGTCCAGGCAGGTTAAAGTGTTCCCCAACAGGTTTCTGTGTGTTGCCTTTTCGGAGATCTGGTCTGTGTCCATTAATTCTTTCCCGACGGGACTGTCCAATGTATATTGCAGTGGGGCATGGCTGGCATTTGAGCATTTGTAATTATCCCGCAACTGAATGCAGCTGACCCTCGAGTGACTCCGCAGAAGAGCCCTGCATTAGAATTTGCCACTCTGATTAAACTTCCCTGATGTCTAATTTACCCTAGCAGCAGTCATCATCTTGCTAGTCTCCTGATCCTTCTTAGATAGTAGGGGCATTTGCTGCCCATGCGCTAATCTATATCCCGAACCTGTTTCCTGGTCCTCTTGTTCTTCAAGGGAAATCTGAAATTCAAGTAAATGCTGTTCTCTTCTAAACTCCCCTGACTCTCGTTTCTCTGTGGTGTTTTACTGTTTGCAAGGTGTGGTTTTTCGTGACCTATTCCCAACACTAACATGTTCCCAGTGACTGAAGGGCCAGCTTTCTGCAGTGGTGTAGACCCGCAAGATGCTCGAAGGCAGTGGGTGGTAGCTACAAATGGACCTAAACAGATTTGGCGACAAACTCCCTCTGAAGTCAATGGGAACGGGTCTGTGTTTTGTAGAGTTCACTAACTGAGTAATTGTATCTGTAGGTGTCTAATTGCCTTTACACATCTAGCCCTAATTAGTTGAGGAGCGTGTGTGCCATCGATTGTTTTAAATGGGACGGGTGTTCATAAATCACATGTGCACTCTTGAAAATCTCTCCCTAACTATTTGTTTTTATTTAGACTGTTGGCAGGGAATCCTCGTATTGTGTCTGAATGTCAGACCCCAGGCTTGTACTTAAGTCCATCACGTTCTCGGGAAGCGGCCTGGGCCCTTGTCTCACACCAACTCATTGATGTACCAGGGAATTCATAGACCCGGTGGGCTAACTTTCCGGGGTTCCATGTCCTGCTTCCTATTGGCCACATGGTCTTGACTCTGATTGGCTGGTGACCATATATACATTGCCTGCTTCCTGTCTGGCCCTGCCTTCTGGTTGCTACTTAGACCATACTCGACTGCCTTGCTGCCTCACCTGAGCCTACCAGCAGCCTTGCTCTGCCTTCCCCTTGGCTTGCGTCTCCTGGCAGCTGGCCCACTTGTGTGAACTGTGACCACTGACCTGCACTGCCCTTCAACCTGCCGGACTCCTGGGTGTTGCTATTTAAGCAAAACAATAATAAAATGAAATCCTTCCTCTGAAAGGTGACGTAGAGTTGGCATGTGGGACTCATTGCCACATGAAGTCATTGAGGCTAAGGATTTAGCAAAATTCCGGTGTGGATTATATATTGATGTGGATGGCAAGAATAGCCACAGCTAGCTAATAGTTATTGCTAATGAAAGTTCTGAAAAGGGAAGTTAAACCTGGTGCTTCAGGACTTTAGCCAATCTCTAACGATTCGAAAGCTGGATAAGGCTTAATGTAGGTGGCAGATTATTCCATATCAGCTGCTGCATGCTTCTTCTACCTGAAGCTTGCAGCATTCAGGACAAGATGCTGGACTACACGGACCACTGTTGTGATCTGGGCTGTTCTTAACCAGACAAGGGAAGAGAGGGAGATTGCAGATGTTCATTGCAGGTGTATTTGCTTTGTATTAGCAATTCCTATTTTGATAAATGTCTCTCTTAGCGCCATTTTGGTGAGTGTTTCAATGCCATGTCAGTCATGTATGCAATGTCATAAGCATAATGCAACAGAAATATTTTTACGGAAGCTGAGCAGGGTTGCAGATATTTTTGTATTTTCCACATTGCATTTACTCTTTTATTTTTTTTCCCTAGTAAGAGATGCTAAAAATCTAGTTCCTATGGACCCTAATGGCTTGTCAGACCCTTATGTGAAACTTAAACTAATCCCCGACCCGAAAAGCGAAAGCAAACAGAAGACCAAAACTATAAAGTGCTCTCTGAACCCTGAGTGGAATGAGACTTTTAAATTGTGAGTAACACCTATTTAATATTGAAAAGTAGCCGCTCTCGTCTCCAGGATGATTGCAAATGTGTTTTGCTGTGCGTTAATCCTCTGAAATATTCAGCTGATTCAATGGCAAATAACTTTTTTTTCCCCCCTGTCATCACAAATGTCTCGGAAATGCTTTAACTTCTGCTCCGTGCCCGGATCAAAGTCTTGCATTTCCATGAAAGAACTTTACATTCGCCGCATGAAATGTGCGCTATCAGCAAATGAAACATTAAAGGGACGCATTGTCCCCGAAGACCATCACTTCATTTCATATTCATGTATTTATTGAATGCACGCGCGGAGCATGTGGAATTCTGGAGATAACTCCCACTACAGACATTTTGCTTCTTCCCTTCCTTTCTTGCAGTCAGCTGAAAGAGTCAGACAAAGACAGAAGGTTGTCGGTGGAGATTTGGGACTGGGATCTGACCAGCAGAAATGATTTTATGGGGTCTTTGTCATTTGGAATTTCTGAGCTGCAGAAAGCGGGCGTCGACGGATGGTAAGACTCCATTTGTCCTAAAGCCACAGAGCTCTGCACGCAGCAACGTCACCTGGTACCCGGGAG